CTATCTATCTATCTATCTATCTATCTATCTATCTATCTATCTATCTACTTGTCTTTGTAGCAACACTATCTTTCTTATCTTCCATGTTAGTTCCTTTTTCATACACTTTTCATACTTCCCCAACGCATAAGCTGATCAACAAAGAATTCTAGTGAAGATTTATTTAAAAACTGATCCATTGATTAAGAAATAACATGGTGGAGGGTGGATCTAAAGCTGGATTTTCTGCTAGTTCAGTATCTTTACTACCATATATATCACTGGCTTTCCTTGAGATTCTACTTATCCATCACGATAATAGTTGCAGGCTTATCTCTTATCCTAATTTAATATCGGAATAGTGTCTCATGAAAAGCTGCTTTTCACCACGAGAACTTAGAATCATTAGATAATTGGGCTGAAATGATAATTTTCACAATATCTCCCACTTTCTTCTAAACAACTTTTTTAGCAGGATAGAAAAGATAATCGTTAACCCCATTTATAGAACAAGAGTGTTCAAACCTGGATCCAGTCCATTATGATACTTGTCTGAGTTCTTAGCTTGGGATGCAAAATGTCAAACATAATTAACAATTTTGTTGAGAATCAATGTGGCATAAAGGTTCAAGAAGTTGAGAAAGACTTTCAACCATGAAAATACGCTAGGTGACCTTGAATCAGCCCAACCTACCTCACAAAATCATTTTGCAATGGTTAAAATGAATAGAGCTGCCTTGAACTTCTGAAGGGCATAAACATATCTGATATTAATGAAATGGTCCATATTTTTTGTATGCGTAATATTGAAAGGGAGAACAATCAAGCCATGTATTTGTTACTTTAATCCTTTATATCCAAATTCATGAATTTTCTGTGAGCATCCTATATCTTCCATTCCTTTCCAACTTACGCTTTGTGATGATACCCATGAAACAATCCAGTCTTTCTCTTCCTGCTAAATTTCTTTCTTTAATGGCAGACAGCTCCAGTTTAGCTGCAGGGCAAAGGATGAGAGGTCACCTGATGACAGGTAGCCCCTCTCCCTGTTGGTCTCTTGCTGGAAGAAGTGGCAGCTTGTAGTTCCTTAGAGGCAATCTGGGGAAGGGAATGCTTTCAACAAGAAAGGTATCACCTTGTAACCTTTATGGCTGACTCACTTACCTGCCCTTTGACCCTTTCAGCTTCACTCCCTGAGGATTTGAGGACCCTCATCGAAGAGGCCAAGGAAATGAAGTGGCCCTTTGTGCCAGAAAGGTGGCAATACAAACAAGCCATAGACCTTGAAGACAAAACAAATTTGCAAGATATGATCAATGCAAGGCTGCATGAGTTACTGGTATGACACCAAAGACACCTGTCCTTGAAACCTGCACTAGCTCTTAAATTTACAGTGACCCAACAGATGGTAGCTTCCTTGTTACACTGGTGACCCCCCCCACACTCCATTTTTCACTGTTGCTTCTACCCCATGACAGTTGCTAGCCTGCTTCTGTTCAAGTCGATAGTTAAATTGATTCCTGTTGTAATCAGAAGACATGGGGTCAGTGGTTTGATTTTGTTCACATATTGCAAAATATGTAACCTAATCTGTAGTTTAGTATGCATTTTCATATAAGCACTGGGTTCATGCACAAGGGGACTTCCTGCAATGACGAGATAAAAGAAGCCACTCATTCAAGTGCATCAGGTGTACTTTGGAGTGTGCAAATGAAAAACTCAAATCTAAGATTTTATCTGTTAGCCTGATAAAGAATAGATAATCTTATTCAGCCACATGAAGGTGAGCATAAAATGATAAAAAAAATCAAATATGTGCCATTATGATTCTAGTTATCAAAGCAAATAGTAAGTAGATAAATCTCTTCTGAAATAATAGTTCCATGATAGTTACTTATGGCAGTGATTAAAATTTCTAAGTTTTTTTTCCCTTGAGGTGAAAATTTTCATTCTAAATTTTACCTGTTAGATAAAGATTGACATTAGTGGGCTTGCCTAATTCTCTGTTGAGGGACAGAAAACTTCTTTCATTTGTTACATTATGATTGTAATTTTGAAAAGGGTATTTCCATTTGAAGATTTTTTTAGAAGCTTCCTTTCTTCTCAAAGCTACTAGGTGGTGGGTAGCTGATTTTTAGTATTTGGGAAAACAAATTTGTATATTTCCTAATTTATTATTATTGTAATATTATTATTACAAAAAATTATTATTTTTAACCCCGGTATACTTTTGGGTTACTTTGTCCTAGGGCTTTAGGATGTCAATGAGTCAGTGGAAAAGAAAGCAAACTAAGATATCCCGTGAAAGTAGTATTTCTTCTGACTTACCCAAACTACAGTATTAGCACTGAAAGATGAATTAAGCCTCCTCTTATAGAGGAAACATTTCGTGCTGAAGAATGAAATCAAATCTATTCAAAGGGCAACATGTGACTTAAAGTTCTGTGAGTGTGCAATTAGCACCTTTTAGGGCCATTAACCAGACACCTTTTCCTACAAATGGAAAAACAGACATAGAAGCCCAAACAAAGAGGCAGTTCCTTTAAGGTGTCCCAGAAAATATTTCATATACACCCACTCAGGGTCCAAATGATGCTTTGTCTTTGAATCTGAATCACTTGAACAATCCTAATATCCAAAAATCATCAGGCACCACAAATTGCCTGGACCAATTCTCTAATGTAACAATTCCACTTTTTGCTCACTTGTGTCTACTACATTTCAGGCAAATGCATAGAGATAAGATATTTCTAATAGGCATGCTCTTTTGGATTCCATAATATTTTATTTGGACTCTTCCCATCCAAGGGATCCAACTTCCTGTTGGCAGCTTGTTCTGCTAAATGCTGCCTTTAAAATGTTACTAAAAAGTATTTCCATGGATATGAATTTCCAAGCTTTATCCATGGTATTGTGGGCCGTTAACCAGAGAAATGTGTAAAATGTAAGACGCCAAGTGGGTTCAAATAGAATACTGAATGTTGACATCATGCAGAAGAGAGTTGTAATATTTAAAGTTCTATTGAATCAATACCAAGTCATTCTTCTTCCCCTCCATAAGCAAATGGATTTAATTTGCGTGTGTGATGTAACTTACACGCCTTGACAGAGGAGGAGGGCTGAGTTGCTGTTTTACAAATTCCTGGCACTAAGTGGAGTTTTATTGTGATTCTGAATTTGTTTTGGCTATTTTCTACTTCTTCCCTCTCTCCCCTTACACCCCCACCCCCGCTCCTTTTTTTCTTTTTCTTTTAACTTTTCTTTTCCTTTCTGGTGTGTGGCCTTAGACAGAAATTTATGGTAGAGGCTGACCCTTTGACAATGCCCACAAAGCCCCTAGACTCAAAAGCATTTGTCTGCTCCCTCCTAGGAAAAACACCTGCAGTAAAACTCCCCGAGAAACCTGGATAGATAGGAGATTAATGTGGCTGTAATAGCAAAGCCATGTTTGCACACATTATATTCTCACCCCAGGTAGATGAACCATTTCTGGGATGATACCAATTATTTATTGTTGAAACATCTGTTGATAACTGCAGCTGCCCCAGCAAAACAAAGCAGATCTTGGGGTGACAGGCTATAGGTCTCTTGGCCCCAGGTCATGCTAGTTTGAAACGATTCACTCAAGTGTCCCAAAGTTTGTGGGTTACCCATCATTTTCCTGGTTCCATTCTACCATAAGAAGTTATTTCCAAATACTGTCCTCCTTTCCCTGTGGGCTTTGAAGTATTATTTCAGTTTCATTGGTAATTTATATTCCGGCACCATTGTACTGCAGGAGAAAAGAGACACTTCTTTTTGTTTTCCTTTTAATCGTACTTGGACTGACATTTTGACCCATATTATTAGTATTAGTCAAGAAAGGCTTTTTCCTTTCCTGCTTTGCTTTCCCCCCACTTTGCTTTTAAATAATTGAGGCATTATCAGATTTTCATGTATTTTTTATGTATTTTATGTATTTTTTTAAAATTACAGCTTGACAGCTAAAAATGAAATTTTTACTGTTTTCATATGATTTGAGGAATTATTTTAATTCTCCCAGAAACACAAATAACCCTTTGTTGGTATTGTTGGTAAAAACAGTTAACACATTATGTCTGGGTTTATTCTAAAGTGGTGAGTTTAGAATAAGCTCTCGACCAGAATGAACCAGTGTTTGTAAATGCTCTGGGAGCCTTGAATGAAGTGTTTATTATTCTGGAAGGCCAGATTTTGTGGTCCTTATTCACAGCATGCAGCATCTTACTTCTTGAGTAGCTTCCCTGATCTCAAAGTATCTCTGTGAGAGCACTTGGGTCTCCTGTCTGAAAATTTGACTTAGCCTTGCATTGTTACAAGCCAAGCTTTGTTTGCAGACCACTGCTTGGCTGAGTATGCAAAGCAATCGGGGCTGCTTACATCAGCCTTTTAAACAGTTCGGCTTGGCATTGGCTGCAGAATCCTATTGTATAAAACTAGCAGAATGAGAACGATCATAAAAGACATCGAGGAGCAGGCAGGGAGTGCAAAGAACCCCCATATTGTTGGTTTTTATCAATCTTAAAAATAGATGGAGTGAAATGTATACCCTGCAATTTTTTTTTTCCTCTTCATGATTTTCACTGTTGAACTTTTAGCTAGGAATTTGAAATAAAAGGAAGATATGATAACTCTTAGCACAATTCTTCATGAATTCTTTAAGTGGTTTGGATGTCATTCTCATTCATTAATTTAAATTCAGATTAATGTATCTTATAATAAATGTTTAATTGATTCAATAAAGTGCAGAAAATATGGTCTCTCTGGACACTAAGAACGCTTTTAATAGTTGTTGAAGTTATTTGAATGATTATTCAAAAAAAGCCCAAACATTTTTAATTTTAACTACCAACTTAGAATTTCTTCAGCATTCAATTTTTACTCTTATTTGCTACAATTATTTATTTCAATTGCTATTTTTGAAGTCTTTTTCTTCTACTTTTTGCCTTTAGAAGATAATATCCACCAGGACTAACATAATCGTATTTTTATTTATTTGTTAGGTTTGTAATTCTGCCTTTATCCCAGGACCTCAAAATTATGTAACTATGGTTCCCTCTTCCAGTTCTTCCTATAACAGTTCTGTTGTGTAGCTAGTAGCTACCCATGTGACCCAATTAACTTCTGATATTTAAGAAGAATTTGAACCTGATCTTTCTGAACTAATGCCTCAACCATTGTGCTATGCCTTGTCTCCATATTGGAAGGTAAAAATAGTCACAAAATGTGGGAAGCTCCCTTCGAAGGATAAGTCAAAAGAGACTTCATTGATGCCCCTATTTGGGAATCTAGTTTTTTCATAGCCAAGTGTTGATTCTTGTTGAGTGTTTTGTGATCACAAACTAGAGTTGCCAAAAACTTATTGAAATCAGTCTCATTCTTGATGCAGCTAAGCTACATGTACTGTGGTAGAATCTGCACACTTCCAAAAATAAGATTCCTGAGACATTCTAAAAATATTTGGGATTTGCAATGTCATTAATTGAGATTCAAAGTTATTTCAAAATTTGAATTTAATGAGAAAACATAACTTGCAGAATTATAATGCAAAATCAGCTTGCTCTTAATACTGTAAAAGCTGTAAACTCCTAGAAGACTTGGTGGTGGTGATTCAGTCTGTAATGAGGAGCCATTATAACATACAGGGTCAGAACCAGCAAAGGACTTTAGGAGACATTGGTTCTGTTTGCATTTATAATATTTATAACAATCACTGGAGCAGGTGTTTCTGAAGAAGTAGGAATTTTTCTGGCAAATGCTTGGTGTCATAGCATTGGCCTTGAGGCTAAAAATGAAACTATGAATCCGATAAAGGATTTAAATCGCTAAAATAAGATCCTAGAATATAGGACATTCTTCCTCTCTTTTTGTAAAAAGCTCTGTGGGAAAACAATTTTTCATCCCCAATCTGCATACATATCCAGATGCAAACATTTAAATTAACATAGAATTCTGCAAATCTAATTCCATTTGCACCTTCTTCAGTTCTCTAGCCATGAAGTTCCTTTTGTGCCCTAAATTCAATTACATACACACACTGAACAGATGTTCAAGCAGAGTTCATGCTTATTCCTCTCTGTAGCCATGATGAATACAAAAACTTTTTTCCCATCCATCCTCTTTACATTGTATTTTTTAAAAAGTTGGGCTGTTGCATTTACTGAATCAATAATTTCTACACTATATTTTGACAAAAAAAAATACTGCAATTACAATTTTAAAATGGTTTATTTGAAATTATACTAATTTGGTGGAGGTACATTGGATGCATCTATATGTGCCAGTCACTTTTTTATGGGGAGGTGGGACGTATGTGTGGAATTGAAAACAAAACCAGCCAGATCAAAGCTGGTTTTGCTTCAAAACTGGCAAGACATTACTGAGATTATATAGTGAATGGAAGCATTCAAATACAGAAGCACTAGCACAACTATGCGCTCTGGCTAAAGGACAGTAGTTTGATATCGTTAACAGTACAAACTTATTTTGCCACAGCAGGTGGCAGCACCTGCTTGAACTTGGCAAAGCTGAACAGAGTCAGACCTGAATTATATTTAAATCAGAGACTACAAGAAAAATCAAGGCTGCAAACTAGACTGGGGATTTGAAAAATCAGGGGAAAATCATGGGAAAAGGCCATAAGAAGCCACTTCTGTACTACTACAAAGAACATTTATAACTGTTTGCACGTAGACTCCAGGAGTTGAGCGTAAATTGTAAGATATTAGCTTAATGGGTTTTGAAAAACCTATAATATGTGAAAGTCATACAGAAACCAGCTATTCTTAGCTTACATATTATGCATATATGGAAGGAGTAATATAAATCATTTATTTGATTATACTGATACATACTAATTATACTGATGTAATGTACCATACATTTCCAATTAATAAGCATATTTTCCCTTTTTTCTATCAGGATATTTATACATAGTCATTATTTGATGGTAACACAAGAAACTGCTTTTCTTTCAGTTACTATTGCTGGTTTACTTTCAAAATTATTAGATTATAATTAGTTTTAACTATAGCTAGAGAAAGTGAAAAAGTAAAAAAATAAGTTTACAAAGATCAGTTGTTTTTCCTAAACACTATTAAATCCAATCCTAGTTTATTGACCAGATTATCTTAAAAGGGAAGTCTTCAATCTCTTCATTACCTTCATCAAGATGAACTCTTCTTAAGAGTTTCTTGATCTGCGTGAATAGGAACATTTGAACTAGCGTACCATCCTTCCAGCTCCATCATGCTTCTACATGATGCTATCAAAAAGGGAAGCTAGCTTTGCTATAACTCAACATTTAATCTATCAAAAAAGAAGATTCCAGAAGCACATATTTTTTAAAGAAACAATGGCAAACTACATTTTATTATAGGCTTTGAAATCAACAGAATTGAATTGGACAGAATTTAGTGTCTCCTGTGAGAAATAATTTTATTAGATTTCTGCCAATGATTTTGAGAGGAAGAAATTAGTTGATTTATTAGACTTCAAGTATAAAATAATTGTTACACTCTTTAAATTTTTCTTGTGGACTAAATGCTGTTGTGTGATTCCATAGGCAAAGAAATAGTCAAATATTTTCTTAACATGTTGTTGAGAGAGTTTTATAATATCAACAACCAATATCAAGCTAAATTTATCAGAGTGAAGTGCCATCTTACCTTGAAGGAAAGAAAAAAAAAATAGACAATATTCTTCCCCTATCTTGACTTTGCCCTATTTTATGTCAACTTGATTTTGAAGAAGGTTACAAGAGGTTTCAGCATTAAAGCAGAGAGATAAATTATGCAGCTGCCCAGCCTCCCAGAATAGGGAAACTTGGTATAGATTTTTTTCACAATGCTATTGAAGTGCTTATTTTCCTCCTGAAGAGACACAAACAGATGCAAACTTCTGTAAACACTTTAGAAATGAATTCAGTGAGTTTGGCCTCTCAGTGGTGCTCAATAGCTGACAGAAAAATGTCTAATTAGTGCAAGTGGAAATAATAGGGCCACTTGGATTCCTCCTACCCTTCTTCACATCTCCTTTTCCTAGGAACTCAAAGGCTCTTTTGTCTGGCAGGTCACCCTCTCCCATGCTTTTGTGTTTCAGTTTCTTAAAAGAACGCAAGATGCAAAGGAGAAAAATATATTAGGCAATGAAGGCAATGCTTATACATATGGTATATGCTGGAGCACTGTGAAGAATTTATACCTAGGCAGTATCAATTTACAGGTGCTTCAAAGATGGGGAATTCGTCCCATAGTGGAAAGTAAATGTTCCAGGAAAAGGGGAATCCTTTTCAATTGCCACATTTTATTTTACTTTCAAAAATCCTTAAAAAGAATCGGTTTTTTATTGCCTAAATCACCTGAAGAGCAAGTTTCAAAATAATTAACCCCCTAATCTTCTGAGTAAACATATACTCTGCATTCCTGCTAATACCATGCAGGAAAATGTCCTTCACTATAGTGAAAGGGAGTCTGCATTCAATGTTTTTTTATAAGGAAAAGAGACATGTGGTGAAATTCTCATGACTGGAAGAGAGTGTTCTTGCACTTATGTGAAGAGATGCTGTGCGCAGTTCTTAGTTCTGATTAAAATTTATATGATATATTCTCCACAATTTAAGTCCCATTGATTTTAGTGAGAACCAAACGTAACTTTTTTAGTTGTAGATTAACTTAATACCTAGGTTCACATTATGCTTAAACTGTACGGTGGCTTAGTCTAGCCTGTGGTGTGAATTCAGTCTCTGTAGTTTGTCAACCATATTTTATATTTTTAACAGTAAACAGATTTACAGTGGCTTAATCAACAAACTAAACCATTAGCAGCTTAGTACAATCTATATATTTGTTTACATGATTAAGTTTCTCACCTAACTTTGGTTAACAAGCTGAGTGAACCTGAAAAATGTCACTGCACACAAAGGTAAAATATTACACTGCTACACCAAAAGTATATACGATATTGTGTAAAGTCTTGTTTAAGTCCCTTTCCACCTTTTCTATTCTGCATTGGATGAAATACGTCCCAACTTTGTCTTGGGAGTTTCTGCAGCTCAAGGAAAGCGTAAACATCTTTCAGAGAAATAAGTGAAGAAATATTACAGCTTGGTACCTTCTCTATCTCCTGGGTGAATGTGTATTTCATGGATCATCCTCTGCAAAGAGTTTCCTAGGGCAGCTTGTTCCTATTCACATATTTTTGGTCCTCTTTTCAGGTTTGCTTAAAAACCTCCATTGCCAGCAGGGACTATCTGACAGCAACAGCTATTGCATTTCTGGTTGACCGGTTTCTATATTGGGTTGATGGTTCCAGCCAGCTTCTCCAAATTGTCAAACGGCTGCATCAGCTTGAGCCTACAGTACCAATTGCCCCTCAGCTGGTTATCCGTCAGGCTCGCATCTCTGTGAATTCAGGTAATGAAATGCTGTCTGCAAGCCCTTGACCCTTTCTCCATTTTCTTAGCCCAATTCCAATTAGAAGATACTTGACTTTCAAGAGGATACTTTGTCTCTTTCTGAAGGTGACATTTCTTTATGCCATGCACTTTGCCAGCACAAAGTTTCTAATGGGGAAGGAAAACAGGAGAAAATTGTAAAAGAATGTGGAAAACACTAATTAGAGCTTTTGTTGCCTAAAGGCTGCTCCCTGCCAATCGTCCTTAACCTCCCTCAGGCCATGAAGACACTTTTACCTCAGAAAAATACTACTAGCTTTTCAGGGCACTTCTGGGCCAATAACCTGTCAGAGAATTGGACAGCAGGTGTCCAAATGGAATCAGAGACACTGTCGCAAACTTGTTTTATATAAATAAATATTTTATATCTATATCTATCTATATATGTATGTGTATATGTGTGTGAGTGTGTGTGTGTGTGTGTGTGGTATTCAGCTTTGTTCGGGTATTTTCCCATGTTATTATAGTTGTGCTTTTAAAGTTGTAGCAACATTTCAGCAGAATCTCATCTGCCATCGTCAAGCTTCTGTAAGAGTCAGAACCATATGACTTCTGGTTTGAGCTTCTTTGGCAACAGACCAAAACCTCATCTCTCCGAGGCTTTGATCCATGCTCGCCGCTGGAGCACCCCGAGCCAGCTGATTTTGGGGCTAAGTCACCCCGTAGAGGTGGTGAAGAGGGGGGAGACTGCCTGCAGGGTTAAGGAGAGCCGCATCTCTCCTCCCCAGCTGGCCCTTACTCCCTTTCCTGAAAGTGGTTGTAGCGGTGGTCAGAAATGGCCACCACAAAGAAGAACTCGACCGGAAAAGAATGTGGCTTCGTGTTTCAATTCTTAGAAATGGAGATCTGGAACTATGAGAAGCAACAAGAAACGCTTGCAGAACAAGAAGATTGGGACAAAGAAGAAGCCATCTTTAATGATCAAATAATTTTAAGTGGGGGGAAAAAAGAAAAGGGGGGAAAGAGAGTGAAAGGTTTAAGATGAGAAAAAACAACCAAAAAGAAGAAGAATATTTGAAAGATAAGTATAATATTAGAAAGCAATAGAAGAGTGGATTACAGATGAGAGGGTTAGAAGTAGAGAGACAAGGAGTTAAAAAGGGGAGGGAGAAGAAGAGGGGGAAGAAGGCAAGGTAAAGAAGATGTAAAAGACAGAAACAAGAAATGGAGAAACAGGGAAAAGATATAAGGATTGTAACCATACATTTGTTTAGAGATAATGGGTGAAAATTTAATTGTAAAAGGGATTCTGCAAAGGTACATAAGATAGCTTTGTTATATTACAAATAGAAATAACTTTAGAAAATATGACGATGGATAAAATATTTATTGTAATGCAGTGGGATGTTTGTTAATAAATAAATGAATTAAAATTATTGAGAGAATTAAAAGGGAACATTTTTAATTATTAGTAATGATTTAAAAAAATATAAGTGAGAAATATGGGGAAAAAAAGAATTAACTATGGAAAGTTTATAAGTGTTCCCAAGGAAGTATGATATTCAATTGAAAAGAAATGTTAAAGATGTTAAGATTTTAATGCATATTAATGATAGAATTGAATTGGAATGGAATGTGTTTTATTTACATATATATATATATATAATTTTTTCTTTTTAAGAATATAGTGTCTATTTTAAGAATGTACCAAGCAGAATTCGATTGGAACTTATATATTATATTGAATGCTATAATCTTAAAGCTATACATTGAAACTTAAATAAGAGCTTGAATGGATAAAATTAAAGGATATAAAGGTGTCATACTCTAATTGGTAACTACAGGGAAAAATTTGTTTAATAAGAAAAGATAATGTGAAATTGTAACAGGACGGACAAAAATATAAATATAATGATTTGAATTGAGATAATCAAAACAAAGTTGAGAAAATTAGAAGAGGGGAAAAACTATGTAGAAAATATAAAATGGTAATAAGATATGGAATAGAATATAAAAATGAGCATGAAATTGAGTTTTGTATCTGTATTAAGAAGTGATAACCTGGGACCATACTATTTTCTTTTTTTTTTTTTTTTAATAAACTTTATTAGTTTTACTTTTTAAAAAATCAACGACAACACAGCTACAAAGTATATACAACAAAAAGACGAACAAGTCTTGGCATGGGCCAAGGGGGAAAGAGAGGAAAGCTTGAGAGAGGAAAGAGGGAAAGGGAAGGGAAGGGTGGGGGGGGGGGGGAAAGTGGGGATAACAGAAGTAGAGAAAACATTTATAATAAAACCATATTTTTGTGACTGTCTGTAAGGTCTTTTCTTCTTCCAGACTATCATCGGCAGTGCTTTTCTTTATCTCTGCCTCGGAGGCCTCGGCCTTAATTTTCTTGGAGGTGATCTATCTTTGATCAAGCCAAATGTACAAAGGATTCCAATTGCTATAATAGGTTGAAGATTCTTTATTTTTTAATGCTTGTGTTAGTTTGTCCATTTCGGCGCATTGTAAGATTTTCTGAATAACCATAAGATCAGTGGGGATAGAGGGTAGTTTCCAGCACTGGGCAAATGCCAGTCTGGCCGCGGTTAAGATGTGGATTGTAATATACTTTGACTTTTTGGATATTTGTTTATCAAAAATTCCTAGAAGGAAGGACTCTGGTTTGTACTCAATTTGTTCCATGGTTATTTCCTCTAGCCAGTGCCTAATTTTTTGCCAATACTTCTGGGTTTCCTTGCATGACCACCACATGTGAAAGAAGGTACCTTCTATGTGTTGACATTTCCAACACTTGGGGCTCGTGTTGGGGTGCATCTTCGCCAATCTCGAAGGGGGCAGGTGCCATCTATAAAACATTTTATATACGTTTTCTTTATAAGCTGCTGATTTTGTGATCTTAATGTTCCTGTTCCAGATCTTTTCCCATTCTGCTAGGGTAATGCTCCGACCCACATTTCTGCTCCACGCAATCATATTTCCCTTGACAATTTCTTGTTCTAGTTCTGTTTCTAATAAATATTTGTAAAATTTAGATATATTTTTTTTACTTGGTCCTAGTAGAATTTTGTCTAGGGTCTGTAATTTATTGTAGATTCCGAATTCCTTAATGTCTTGTTTGTATTTACTATGAGTTTGTAGGTACACCCACTGATCAATTATAAATCCTCGCTCTTGCAGTTCTTGTCGTGTTTTCAATTTTCCTTGTGGGTCTAATAAATTTTCGTACTTAATCATTTTGGTTATATCCAAATTATTAGGGTGTACTATCGCTTCCATTGGGGATATCCAAATCGGTATTTTTAAATAAAGCTTTTTACGTACTTTTTTCCAATTAGTTAATAAAGAGTCCCTGATAAGATGCCTATGGAAATATGATTGCCTGGGTTTCCCAGATTCCCACAGAAAGGCATGCCACCCTTTCTGCATATCGTGGCCTTCTAATACTAGTGTTCTTTTGTTGGTTAGGTTCACCCAATCCTTTATCCATAGGAGGGTGGCTGCCGTATGATATATTTCCCAGTTTGGCAAGGCTAACCCTCCTCTGCTTTTCAAATCTTGTAGGGCTTTTACGTTAATCCTAGCTTTTTTCCCCTGCCAAATAAAATTCAATGTTATCTTGTTTAGTTCCGTAAAAAAAATTTTATTTAGTTTAATTGGTATTGTCTGGAATAAATATAGAAATTTTGGCAGAATATTCATCTTAATCAAAGCAATCCTGCCCAATAAGGAAAGTTGTAAATTGCTCCAAAAATCTAAGTCTTTCTTAGTTTGTTGGAGAAGTTTATCATAATTGTTTTCTTTTAACGATTTGCTTTGTGGAGTTAGCCAAATTCCTAAGTATTTAATTTTTTTTGTCACTTGTATTCCCATTGTTGTCTCTAGCTCTTTATTCTGGTCTCCTGTTAAATTTTTAGTCATTAATTTTGTTTTTCCCCTGTTTATTTTAAATCCCGCAACTTCTCCAAATCGTTCTAGTTCTTCTAATAAGTTGTGTCCTTTTTCTATGGGCTCCTCCAGAAAAAAAACCAAATCATCTGCGAAAGCCTGTACTTTATATTCTTCTGATTTGATCCTCAAACCTCTAATTCTCAAATTTTGCCTAATATACGTCAGAAGAGATTCTAGAGCGAATATGAAAAGCAGAGGGGAGAGAGGGCAACCCTGTCTTACCCCTTTTTCTATTTTTATCGGGCCAGTTTGTTCCCCATTTATTAGAATGTTTGCCTGTTGAGTGTGGTAAATTGTAGTGATGACATTTTCAAATCTGGTGCCAAGATTCATATTATATATTTTTTGAATTAAGAAATGCCAATTTAAATTGTCGAATGCTTTTTCAGCATCCAAGAACATAAATGCAAATTGTTTTTCCGGGTGGGCTTCATAGTATTCTGAAATGTCTATCACTGTTCTTAAATTATTCTTAATTTGTCGAAATGGGAGAAATCCGTTTTGATCTTCATGGATATAAGTATTTAAAACCTGTTTTAATCTATTGGCTATTATAGAAGAGAATAATTTATAATCTGCATTCAGGAGCGAAATTGGTCTATAATTATTAATAAGTCTGTGGTCAAGGTCCTCCTTCGGGATCAGCGAAATTAAGGCTCCCCTCCACGAGTCCGGCATCTTGGCTGCTAAGAGTACCTCATTAAATACATCCAGCATCAGTGGTCCAATTTGTTCTATGATAATTTTGTAAAGTTCTACCGGTATCCCGTCTGGTCCTGGTGCTTTATTGTTACTTTGTTTCTAGGGACCATACTATTTTCAAAAAAGATGTTTTATTTGTATTTTGTTTTTGTGAAAACCCAAATAAAATTTCAAAAAAAAAA